ATGCTGATTTTTCCATTTGCGTCTAATGGCGTGGGACTAAGTGTATTCAGGGAGCGGATATCGTGTGTGTGTGTGTGTGTGTGTGTATGAAGGCACATACTGCGTCAAACGTGAACTGATCTGTTGGTTCACTGGTATATTGGGTTGACTGTAAATCGCTCGTTCCGTTCAAGATGCGACCAGGAAGGTGTGAACCGTATCTGCGCCGGTTCGCGTCATGTCACTGAGCAGTGATTTGAGTGATACTGATAGCACTTTTCATTAATCCCATCAAACAAAAATTGACATGGTGCTTTATTGGCAGAAATAACTACCACACTCGTCCAATTCGCTCCAAGAGTCGTCAGAGAGAATGTTTTCAATGCTTATGAGGACGATGCTAAAGCAAACATGATATTATTTCAGACGGGGTATGTTGGACTGGACCATTCGATTTTTGACACGCACCAGACACTGTTCATAATGTTACTGAGTTTCAATCCTTGGGAGATCATAAATTTCCCAGGAGGTAAATATCATCAGTTGCGATAGAAATGTTTCAGATAATCGACAAACCCCATTGGACAGCTGTTTTGTCCTGTTTGGGACTCGTCAGCAGTGTGTCGCTATCAGGACTCGAACCACGATTCTTCGGGCTGGGACTTCAAACCCCTACTCTTGAGTTATGCGGCCGACGGTCATCACCTTATGCGAAGGACTCATTCAATTCAGACGCTCGATTTTTGGTTTAGCCTAAAAAGTCTCCGCTCAAACCGCGATAATATGCCGAGATCATGTGCTGACTGCGTGGGGATTTAACGAGGCAAAGTTCAAGTTTCCCTTCCGTTTATATTTGTTCCTAAGACCGCAGTAAAGAAATCCTGCTGTTACGTAGCCTTAAAGATGCAATCCTTGATGTGTTGTTATTTTCATCAAGGGTTTACTTCTCGATCAGGTCCTTGCGTCCTCAGAGGAACGTAGATTGCATCATCATCCTTCTCTTTGGGTCCGCCTATTAGATAGTATCAAACACATTACCGGCCAGTAGATTGGTTTATTCTGCGTGAGGCAGTGCAAATGGCACGGTTGCTTGATCAATTGCCTCAAGGCTTCGTCCGCTGCTGTCAAGAATGTCGGCTCGCTTAGGTCAGACTTTGGTCGGTTTGAATCAGCACTATTCCCACGTTTGCTATCAGTACACACTCGACCGTACACAGAGTGCGCCATCCAAGCTTGTAGTCCATGATCGCAATTTGATCGTAAGATGCTGGAGGGGTCCACAAATGATTGCAACCAAGATGGTCAAGGGGTTGCATTTACCCATCTATGAAGAGAGATTGTGACTATTGGGACTATATTCTGCTCAGTAGCGCCGAATTCAAGGAGACCTGAGTTTGACGTATGGAATACTGCAGAACCCAAATCATCCATGTCAGCCACTGTTCACTTTATCGAGCAACATACACCTCAGGGGCCATGTTTTCAGTTTACTGATTCCCAAGTGTTGATTAGAATGCCGGCGCCAATTTTTGGCAGTCAGAGTATACAGTACTTGGAACACCCTTCCATCTCACCCCGTTTGTGAACTAACTATTGAATGTTTCAAGCGGAGACTCGATGAAACCCTGATACACGTCATATGACCGCATAACTAAAAATAAAAGCAAATTGGTTGAGGATTACATTATCTTTTATCTCCTACCAGGATTTTTATGTGACAATTGATCATATTTTTTGCTCAGAAATGATTCAACTGTGTAAATATCCTATGGGGACAAGAAAGACATGAGGTTGTACGTAATTCACATAAAAATTGGCTTTCAATTTAACGATGTAGACTTATGGTGAAGTTGCAAACTTTGAATATTTCTCACCATTATTGACCTCTGTCAGTGTTGTTATCCCCTGTTGGTTCCAAGAAAGCCTGAAAAATGAGCACTAGCTGCTCAAAATGTGTTCATCTTCTTGAGTCAAACCATGTCAAACGTATTTCGGTCAGTTCATCGTGAAAAATGAAACAAACTAAATTTTGGCACTACTCGTTGTTAACTGTACATGGATTACATTGAATTGTGGGTAAATTACGGCAACCTTCACCATGATCGCCCAACTGCCTCATGTTACATTTTATAGTTGAGCAAAAAAATGGACAAATTACTCGTTTGTATTGTGAATTTTCATAAAAACGGGGAAAAAATTCAAAGAGTATCATAAAAGAAGGTCGGAATAAATTTGTAACGGGAGAGTCTGATACCGAGCGGATATAGATTATTAATGCACAAATGAGCAGTGGTGGTGGTGTTGGTGGTGTAGCGGGGTGGGATGGGGGCGGGACGGTAATTGGCATTGTTGATCGATTGTAGTGTACGGCTCTACCGTGTCTCCAAGTAGTCAATCCGACCTGGTCAATCCTATTCCTAGTCAGCACATGTGCAGCTGATGGGTTTTACCCGGAACTACAACATAGAAACACTCTTATTCTTAAGCGTTTCATTCGTATTGTTTCTTCGTGGTTTTCTTCCGATCCCGATTCACACAATGCCGTCAGCTTATTCACCACATGTTTAACCTACTCTGTCCCGTAGGAAGTGTATTTGTCTGTAATTGCAAAATATCATCTTTACTGTTCAAATCATTCAGAAGACAAAGGGAACGATCGTACAAACCGAGAGACTCAGCTACTGTCAAGCATTACACCCACCTGATGAAAGCTGAAGTCAAACGCCACTCTGTATCCCACGCCTCCCAGCTTCCGCGATGTAACAGTAGTAAGCAACTTTGGAAAGGTGTCCAGTTATTGTGTGAGACCAAATCCAAAAAGACGGATCGTACAACGGATTTGGACAGTGTTAATGCAGTATTTATTCACCCATCAAGTAATGCCATTGCACTATTTGTTCGGGCTGATGCTGTTCAAGTTTAGGCTGTTTCGAAAGAGGAAACTTTCGAGGTTTTGCGTACCGTGCAAACCACTTGCAGTGTTCGTACGGATGGTCATTCATCTTCCGTTCTGAGATATGGGGCCTATTCTCTCAGTGAAATATTCATATCATTTTTGAACAATTCCCTAAAAACCTGTTCCATACCAGACTGTTGGAAACCAGTTACAATTGTTCCCATTCCCAAATCCTCTAATTCAAACATTCTAACCAAACGCTTCCGTTCTATCGGTTTAATGTCTGTTGCACTTAAGCTAGCAGAACGTTTTGTTCTTAAGCACATTCAGTCCTCACTTGATGTCCCGTATGATCCTCTTCAGTTTACCTATAAACCAAACAAATGCACGCTAGATATAGTTTGTTCCTCGTAAACGGGAGAACTTCGGTTGTCCTAGACAGTTATTAGCTTGGCTTGCCGATTAGTTTTCCCGGAAGAACTCACTGTACTAGGTTAGGTTGGGAAAAATGCAAACCGTTGATACTTCAAGATACAGCTCTTTACTCATACTTATTTTCCACCTATATTAGTGATTTTCCTTCTAGCACCTCTACTTTTCTCTCTTCAGATACGCTGATGATGTGGTTTTATGTCAGGCCAGCTCCGATTCTCCTGGTCTTTCACAATCTTCTGACAACATGGAAAACGTTCAAAAAATTCCTCCCGCACATCCATCCGGCCTATCTCGTAATCCCTCCAAATATTTCGAACGTCGCTTTACATAATCATGCCCTTATTTCGCATGTGAATCGGTATTGATTGGCTCTGAACCAGTATCCCGGGTTAGCTGTATTATATACCTGGGCGTTTTTTACTGATGGTAATTTTCATTGAACCTCTCACATTCAACATACCGTTAGTAAGCTTCGATAAGTTTCTTTTTATATCCGTAAAGTTCGTCAGTTTCGTATTCAAAAAACGATTATTTCCAAATTTATGTACCCGTGTGTTTTCTCCATTTTACTTTATTGTTCACCTGTCATATCTTTTATTCTCTTAAAAAAGATTGAAAACTGCTTTCACGTGGACTGACCGTCATTAGCAGTGTCTCTTCCATCTCGTTGGAGGAGTTGTTAACTAACCTGTGCGAACGTCATTTGAATGCATGTGAATAGTTTACACAAAATATTTGTATCGAATCCACACATCCCCCCCCACAAACAGATTTAATTTCCTGTTGTTCCCATCCATCAACCATAGATCCCAAAAAACCGTGGTATCCCCTCTCGAGTAAACATATATCGTAACTGTACAGTACCCCCATTACCACGTATTTTTTCTAGTTAACAGGATTTGTTAACAGTTCTGGGATTTAAATCTTTCTTTTTTTATCATTATTGTTTTCATTTTTAACCTCTTTCTAATTTATGTGTTTTAAATGAAATGTAGGCTTTATGTCTATAAAAGCCCACAATATATTTTTGGCCTCTCACAGTATAAACCTAGTTGAAAGACGATCCTTTCCTTTATATTCGAAGCTCAGTTCATTCATATGTACGTGACAGATACCATCCACATGCATGTATACGCTCAGTGGCGCAGCTTATCGACCAGGCTGCCGGGTTTTGTTAGCTGCACACTGTATACTGGTAAACCGAATCCAGGTGTTTCAATCCAAGCTTTCCAATTACATGCTATTATATTTTACGGGTGATGTTTGCCGCAGAATAGACAAACGTGACACAAGCAAAAACTGTTACCCCAACTGGTGATAAAATGTTTTTACTACCATATCATGTTAGGTAGACAGGCGTACATAGATTTTTGATTCCACGGGCTTTCTTGCTGCACGGATGTTAGTGTGGGTACCAATCGTGAGCTTGTGGATCCAACTTTGGTGATTGCTGCCCAATCGCTGCCGTTTGTTCCCATTTCACACACCATTATGAGTCTGTACAATTCAGACTAACCCCGGAGGTATACACGACAGTTTGAGACAGGTTTTTTGCATTTCAGATTCTTTTCTTTTGTTTTATGCTACACCATTGGAAAAAATGTGGAATACGGGTATTTAGCATCAGTCACATTTTCACGATAGGTTGTTGACAGCAAACTGATGAACGTTTGCAACTACAAAATCATACTTACAAATTTCGCGAATCAGTGCACCTGCCAAATTGCCTTCCGTCCGGACTCTGTGATTTCAGTTTGCCCTGACGCCGATAGTATTCCACATAACCCGCTGCGAGACAAGTGGGACGTGGCGAACCAAATTCACCTGGTCTGGATTCGCTTCCATCACATTCACCGGCTCTGGGCTGCTGGTGTTGTTGTTGTCGCTCACAATTGTACGGATTTAGATAGACACTCCCGTTTGTTTTAGTTGATTTATTCCAACAATAATGTTGCGGGCATAACGAACGATCTGTGCGTTGAAAAGCGGAAGAAATGTTGAAATTCGGGCTCGGAGCTCCGTGCAACGGAATCCCCTCCGACCAGGAAGAAAAAATCGATGGATTTGTGACCGGCCATCGCAAGGGACCGAAGCGACGACGACTGTCGGACAAACCCAACCGGGTGCATTCGGTACAGTACCAAAAGCGTTGCGCTTTTTGCATCTGATTGTGTTGACGTCGACGAAAACAGCTTCTGTGTGGTCATGAGGATGGGTTAGGGAGAGATCAAGAGAGAGAGAGACAGGGCGAGTGAACACGAAACACAACACGCTGAAAATGGTCGAAAATGAATGTGTGAGGGGAGGGGAGCATGTCAGCTTTATTCTGATTTTGACCCCTTTAACTGCACTGTGATTAAATCTAACTAACGGCCAATTCAAAAACAACAAAAATATGAAACCAGAACTACACCGGAGACAATCCAACATGGAAACGAATGGTTTTCACTGCCGCTTTTATCAACGCGATGTAATTCAGAAGAGTCAAGTCACTGGCGTTCTTTCCTGGTAGTATTTTCAATTTATTCGTTTACTTTATTTTTCTTCTTTATTTTTCATTTTTACTTCCTTTTATTGAATATACAATGATATAGTTTTCAGTTTGCTGGGCAGCGCCCAATCAATGGGCTGCCGTATAACACACAAATGGGGAAAGTTGGGCAGTAGGTGGGCAGGTGAATTCCAACACACATCTTCGGGGATGATAATTTTTGGTGACGTTGCCACCGGACCAGCACCGCCTGTTCACAAAAGAGTGGGTAAAGCTTACAGACAGACTCCCGAAACGGGATTGGTGAATGAGTAAGCCACTTGAGTTGAAATTCTTTTTCTTCATATGGAAGAATAATAGAGAAAAGACTCGTGGAACACACCACCTCTTCTCTCCGGTCGGATGTACGCCGGTTTATTTTTGAGAATATCACCAGTGATTTGATTAAAATGACGTCTGGCTGATTTTCAGAGGACGGACACTATTTGGTTCACATTGGTTCATGAGGAGTCAAGATCAGTTCAAGGAAAAAACAATCAATAGTACGCAAACTAGCGCATTTTCCTAACTGCATATTCAATCCTCTCGAGTAACATGGGTATTTTGCATATCAAATGAATTGGAATATCGATTATTTGGTAAATTAAAATAACTTGGGGTGGGGTAATTGATGAACGGCTAACAGTAAAAGCCTGTCAACTGCATGGCAAGGAGGAGATGTGGGCGAGAGAGGGACCGGTTAACGAATGGCGTGATTCCGAAGTTCTGCTGACCTCGATGTATTAATATTGGTCTCTGCTTCTATTCTCATCATCACGTGACACGATTCGCAATCAGATTCACTCTCTGGATCGTCTGTCTCGAGGGCATGGCAGCTTTATTGATTTGCGCGGGTTCTTCGGAGTACACATCAATGAGTTGGGTATTCCAATTGCTTTCACTTCTTCAAGTGCTAATGGGCGTTGTTGTACGAGCCTCGATCTGTTCGGAGTTACTCCATGTACGGTTTCGAAATTCATGCCCAGTTTCTTTGAGATGGGTCAAGGCTGTGCTGCTTACTTACTGCTCAGCTAGGCTAGCTAGTCTGTGCTCTCTAATTCACTGGGACAACCGCCTCGTCGTTCGATCTACGTAAATGGCTGCCTGTTTGAAAGTGAATGAAGAGGGAACCACTAACCACGTGATCACAACTCAATGATGAAGAACATATAGCGGAACTAAAGAGTCTGGAGTGCTGTTTCATGGATCGAACGCAACATATTGAGGGGAGGAGGGTTACGTAAAGACATAGGTTATTGCGAATGCGGTATCCCTTTTGTTGGTTTCGAGTACGAAACCTACACAAATACCAATGAAATTCTTCCCAATCTCTCTGTTTTTCTCTTCAACATGAATGCTGATCCAGTTAGTCAAGAAACGGACTCATTCTAGCAACACTGATACAACTACGGGGAAGGTCGATTTGTCATTATTCTTCGTACACGCATTCCCCTTTTGATAAAACGGTCCTGCACCATTTTCTATGATGACCAAAAAACTAATCCAAAAGTTGAAAAATGGTGTATGTTATCACAGAAAAACCCAGTTCCAAATAGAACAACTAAAACAACATATCCCTTGGAAATATAACAGACAATAGAGAGAAAGACGTGCTCTGGAGCAGTGAAAACATGTGTCGTATGATGGTAACTCAACAGTCTGTTTCCGTTGCAAAACTTCCAAGCACTTTCCTGTGAACATACACATTTGTAGTTTATGTTAAACTTTTCAGTCTAGCTCTTGAAACAGTATAAGTCGAATCCGAAAAACAACCATGCAGAAACGGTGTAAATGATATTGTTCTTTTAATCCACCAGTGATCCAGGAATCTTTGGTCAACTCTCAGTGGTCCTCCAATAACGCGTTTCATCAATTCCAATTACATTGCATTAACAGTTTAAAAAGCACTCCGTATCACGAAAGACCAATTATATGATGAAGGTATATCTCTCCGCGTTGTGTGTGTGTACATGGTAGCCTGCTACAAGACTGCATAAACCGAGTCCACATAGTGGAAGAAACTGCTGACAGCCGTATTGTTTCCAATGGTCGGCAAAATGCACGTATCCCGTTTTCCGCGCGCGCGCGTCCCCCGTCTCTGATCCCCCTCGGGCTTGATCTCATTCCATCAAACACCAACCGTATCTGGTCAATAGGCTGGGTTTTTTCAGTGTATGTGCATAAAAAGCAGATAGGGTATACTACCTTTTCTCTTGTTACTAATGTCATCTCTGATTGCTTTGCACAGACAGACAGACAGACAGACACAGACAACACAACGAGCAGTAGCGTCGGCATGCACAGATTAAGCAAACATGCAGATAACAATTAGACGGATCGATCGTATCTGCTAAGTGGTAGGAACAATAGGGTGTGTGTGTGTGTGCAGAACAATACCCTCCTCATTACTACATTTGGGAAACTAATGTGCAAATCCCGTCACAAATCCCGCTACGAATAGGACTGCTACGTTTTCGGTACATAGCAGTGTATTACTGTTCTTTGAAAACCGTAAGCGCACAAGTGAACCATGCGGTTTTTCAGTATTTGCGGAAACAAACGAGTAAGTTGGGAAATAAAGTTTGGTTAGAAATAGTAAGTCTTTTCTCATAATGCGACTTTTGCTGACCTTGGTAATTGACCAAAGCTGAGGTTCTTCTGGTAGCTAGGAGATATGGTTTTGTGAATCCTAAACTGAAACTATTCTCATTTAATCAATAGAGAAAGAAGTCAAATATTGCGGGATGGTAACACTGCGATTAATCTTCTCAGTCGCTGACTTGAAAACAAATAGGCACATAAATATCCCACACGGGAAAAATCATTCTTGGTGAGCAAACCTGTACAGATATACAAAAATCACTAAACATAGAATTGGGAGGTCGAGTGCACGGAAAGTGGATTGATTGCATTGAACAAGTTTGTACGCACCAGGTAGGGTGATGTAATCGAATAAGTAGTGCTTCACTAGCTACCACAAGTTTAGCATTGCAGTTACATAATAGTGGTTTGAAAGACGAATTTGGGGTCAATTGTTTATCTTGTTGTTGTGACATGTTTTCAACTGCTTTACCCTTAATGATTGATCGGGTCTCGCAGTTAACAGTCACGGCATTCCCAAAGCTGACTCTGTTAAATACCTCAGAGTCATTTTCTCCCACAGTCTCTCTTGAATCATACATGTGAATAAAGTTTCAAATAAGGTTCGCAAACTTTCTTTTTGTGCTTTCAGGTCTAGGAAGTTTGCTGTTCCCCCACCGTAATTTTCAAATTCTGGGTAGCATGAATCCTCCCTCATTGGTTCTACTGTTGCCCTATATTTTTTTCCCGGCCTATTTGAAAAATATTTCGTATTAGTTTCCAGGTCCATAGAACTCCTATCTCGATGTAGTGGCATAGCCAGAGATGTCCTGGTTGATTTTTTATTTTGCGCAAACATATCGACGTATGTAAAAGAACAGCCACGCCAAAGCAGGTCAAACCCAAAGCAGCATCCTCCCTTTTCTTGCTCGCTTTCTAGTAAACCGGGCACCAATTAATACAGGTTTGGTTGAACACCTCATGAATTAGTTTATTTATTCATTTTTTATCCGTCACTGTTGTCTTTCTGCTTGCAGTTTGCGGTTTTTTTAATTAACCTATTCACACAACGATACCAATCTCCATTTCCACGATATTGTTGTGAAAATTGCTGAAAATTTGCCCTCCGAGTGCATAAAGCTTACTTTGTCTTAGTTTGGCTTGCTTATTCGGTTATATCACTGACCTTATGTGCACAAAAGTTTTCAATAGAATCAATCCATCTACCTTGGAGTTGACCTTCTACTTCTATGTGCAGCGATCTTTTTATGCTTGTACACGTTCATTGACCGTAATTGATCAACCCCATGTGCTATGTTTGTGCCCGTTCCTTTTAAGTTAGCCACTGAGAAGATGAAATGCAATGGCAACATATGGCGACATTTGTCTCCTTTCTGTAATTATGAAGCTGGTAGGTATCCCTAGAAATATGCCAAAAAGATGTATGAGAAAAATGCTATCGGTCAACTTAAAAGCGGAGAGTGTATCGGAGGTCATTTTAGGAGATCGTTGAGCGTTCATCTTCCAGCGAACAGTGAACGGTGGACGACTATAGTTCAGTTCTGCTTGGATCATAAGAATTGTTCCTGTCACGCGGAACGAAAAGACCGTGTTCCAATCCAGCCGGTGAAGTGATCTTATTCCCTTCCACAGCAATAAGCTGTCGCTGGCCTGATTTCGTACAGAAATACCGGCATTGCTAGTTGAGGCGCTGGTATTCAGAGACATCGGACGTATTATAAATAAACAGCCTTATTAGACTATGATCAAAATATAAAAAGGATTTTATGTACAACATCACTCTGCGGTAGCATTAAAACTGATAGTGCAAATAGGTTTAATAAAACACATATTGACATGAATGGAGTGTTATACATTCTCAACCGGAGTCTTTCGCCTTGATAGAGCAGTTAGAATTAGTTGACAGAGAAGCCACCTCGGCTCACTTCTGTCTCAAGTTAGTGTCCTAGAAGTGCCTAGGACAAGCTTAACAGTGGTTTTCTTTTAGCATTTCTGTTAAACTCCGTCTAAACTCTGTGCATAGGAACACCTGT